CTTTGGGGACAGAGCTGGCTGAGGCTGGGGACACTAGCCGTGGCTCGGGACCCAAGGTCTTAGCTGTACAAAAGGCACATGTGTTGGGATTCACACTGTGCCCGCAAATCAACCACAGCCGACATTTAAAGAGAGGACCTACCCCCTCAGACCCCACCCCTTCCTGGGAGTGGATACGGGGTACGTGGGCTGGGAGAGGGGGATCATGGGTTGACGAGTTTAACTGATTCCTGAGGTGGGGCGAGAAAAGTGAGTGTCCTGGGTTGCCGAGCGAACAATCTGGCCTGCAGCCTGAAGGATGCACAGAGAAATGAATCCTCAACTCCAACTCCTCACATAAAGCCAGGCATCAAGAAGAGCTTGAATGAAGGAATGAATAAACCTCAATGAGGGAATGAACATTTGGGAGGGCAGTGAGTTTACAAGTAGAGACTGACTCCCACCGGGGTACCGCTACCTCCAGGAAGATTTCCCTGGCCTCTCCTCGCCCACTGGGTGAGCGGCCTCTCCCCAGACCCCATAACACCTTCCCCTATCAGCCTGCAAAGATGTCAACGTCCTAACCCCCAGGACCTGTGAATGTGTTTGGCTACATGGGTTACACAGCAACAAGGAGCTAAGGCTGAAGATGGAATTAAGGTTACTTATCAGTTGACCTTAAAACTGGGAGATTATTCTAGATTATACAGTGGCCTGATGTAATCAAAAGGGTCCTTAAAAGCAGAAGAGAGAAAAGAACCAGAGAGATGGCAACACGAGAAGGACGAGGACCAACACTGCTGGCTTTGAAGATAGAGGAAGGGGTCAAGAGACAAGGGATGCAGGAGGCCTCTAGAAGCTGGAAGAAGCAAGGGAATAAACAGATTGTTCCCTAGACCTCCAGAAGGAACAGAGCCCTGAGCACACCTTGAAGTTAGCCCAGTGAGACTCATTTCAGACTTCTGACCTCCAGCACTGAAAGAGAATAAATCTGTGTTGTTTTAAGCCACTAAGTTTGTGGGAATTTGTTACAGCAGCAAGAGGAAACTAATACATCATTTATCATTAGACTGATCCTAATATAATGTAATTTTTATTTATATGCCTATCACTGCCATCAATGATGATGGTGATGACAATGGCAGCTAACATTTGTTGAGCACTTACCACATGTCAGGCCCTGCAGCAAATTTTTCATACATATAAGATACTATAAAAAGGTAACTTCAATTGAGCACTATGGTGACGGTAAACACAGGGATCTGAGAGTGGGAGAGGGAGCTAGAGGCACCTTCAAGGAGTTAAAGACGCAGGTATATTTTACAGGATGAGCAGGAGGTAGCCCAGGAGAGAGGAACAAAGTCCCAGGCAAGAGGAAGAACACAGCAGACCCTCAGAGAGATGAAACAGCAGAACACGTCCCAGCAAGCATTTTGGTAGCTCAGCTGCAGGCTGATAATTTCCACGTTGGTGCCTCTCGTCCCTAAGTCTCCTCTGAGGTCCAGAGTCGTGTCTGCCTGAAATCTCCACCTGGATGCCTCGCAGACATCTCAAGCTCAGAACGGCCCCCGTGGAACCTGTCTCCAGGCACACGTTTCCCCAAAGTCTTCCCTGTCTCTCCAAATGACACCCAGCTGTTCAAACCAGAACCCAAGAGTCATCCTTGAGTCCTTCTGCCTGCCCCAACCTCATTAAATCCATCACCAAATTTCATCAAGATCCAACCAACCAGGTTGCACTCACTTCTCTCCACCTCTACTGGCACTGATAGGAGGTTCCACCCTGATCTAAGCCACCCTCATCTTTCCTATTACTGCAGTGGCCTACTAACTGGTCTCCCTGCTTCCACTCTCAGCCCGCTGTGATCCACTCTTATAAAAAAGCAGTAGGGCTTCCCTGGTGGCGCAGTGGTTGAGAGTCCGCCTGCCGATGCAGGGGACACGGGTTCGTGCCCCAGTCCGGGAAGATCCCACATGCCGCAGAGCGGCTGGGCCCGTGAGCCGTGGCCGCTAAGCCTGCACGTCCGGAGCCTGTGCTCCGCAACGGGAGAGGCCACAACAGTGAGAGGCCCGCGTACCACAAAAAAAAAAAAAAAAGCAGTAAAAGTAATCTCCTAAAAATGCCAATCAGACCCCACTCCTGAGCCTAAACTCATCAAAGTTTCCCTTTGACTTGATGGGGGGACTGTCCGCAGCACGGTGTGATCTGCCCCTGCCTCCCTCTAAAACCTCACGCTGTGCCATTTTCCCCATCCCGCCCCTGGCTCCCCTCACTCCCAGGAACACATTAAGCTCTTCTGTGCACAGAAGACTTCGCACATTCTAATCCTTCTACCTGGAACGCACTCTCTCCTGCAACCTCTCTGCCTGGCCAGTTGCTTCTCAATTCTTCAGCCTCAGAGAGGCCTTTTCCTGGCAAAACTAGAACTCCCACACACACACCCCACCCCACTTCACTTTGGTCATCGGGTCAATCCCTTGTGTGTGCTTCCTTGATAACAAGAATCACAATCTTTCATTTGTTAGAAGTTACCTGCTTCTTTATTTTTGCCCAGCTTCTCCAATGGAATGCCAGCCCCATGAGGGTGGGACCGGGCCTATCTTGTTCATCGTTGTATCACCAGGACTTCACACAATGCTTAGCATGAAGCAGGTGCTCAGTACAGGTTTGCTGAACTGACTCATTGAAAGAGAAAGTGCGAGGCTGACACTGAAAGATGAGGCTGGAAATAGAAGGCCTTGAACACAGGGTCCTATTCATCTTTGCGCAACTGGCACCTTCCACAGGGGAGCCACTTAGCAAATGTGCAATAGAAAAATGAAAGAATGACTCAAATTCCAGATGAATCTGAAAAGTGCTGTCCCTTCTGGTCAAGGTTCCGGAAGCAGCTCCCTCTCCTCCTTGGGACTTCTCAGGAGGTAACATATCCAGGGCATATAGCAAGTGCTCAATAAATGCTAGCGATCGCTGTTACTATTGCTTACATGGGGATCATTCATGCATCCCATAGAAAAGGCCTGTTCTCCAACCCATGCAGATATAGTGGCTGGGAAAGAAGTGGGAAGAAGAAACACAGGAGGGGAAAATGAGAATGGGGCCATAGGATCCAGTCATATTCCACTGAGAACTTGGAGGGAAAATGCAGAAACAACAATGTTCCAGGTTATACAGGTTCCCTTCTTTCCTCTAGACTTCAGCCACCTGAGTGCAGCATGGAGATGGCCCACAGGGAGGCGGGTCCTCAGGAAGGGTGAGGGAGGGTCCCATTTGTCTGCACACACTCATTTGGGGGCCTGCAAGCCTTCGACTGATTTTGCAAAATCTGGCTCACTGTGGCTGGTGAGGAGTGGGGAGGTGGAGAGAATTTCAATTTCCTTCACCAAATGGCAAGCTTTAGAAAAAGTCCTTCGTCTCCAACGTTATCACATACTAAAAATGAAAAACCAGCCATTCGGAGCTCTCGTAGGGAGAAAAATAGATGGGCTGCCTAGCTCAAAAGACACAGGAGGGCTGGAAATCATGTCTAGAGAACATCATACGGTACATTATGTGCTAAGATACTGCCCTTTTTTGGACCTGGGAGTTTCTATTTTTTACAGAAGAATGGGAATAAAGTCATTCCTATATAAGAAGCCACCCATTTTATATTTCAAATCCATTTGGTGGCTGAAGCTCCAAATCCATTTAGTGGCTGAACAGTAGGGGTTAGGGAATTTTTTTCTTTTAACTCTGTCTCAAAATATGCAGTTTCAGATAACTGCATATCTCAAAAAATAGCAGCAATAACAGACAAGACAGAACAAGAGAGGGCACTAAAACGATAAAGGTTATAATGCCAAGAAGGCATATTTCCCAACATTTCATGGCTGACAGACTATAAACTGACATTAGTGAAATGAGCACTGGACGGGGAGTCTGAAGCCTGGCCACGTGACTTTACGTAAATCACTTCACCTCTCTAGGCCTCGGCTGTATAACAAGAAGGGACTGCAACAACTATTCTCAAAGATTTGATGCTTCCAGAAGACCTGCATCTTCTCTTCCTGCATCTTCCTCCAACTGCAAAACGGAAAGGCCTTGGGCTGAAGTTTGATAGAGAGATAAAACTGGCCTCAATATTGAATTATGTTTTACAATCCCCAAACATTTCTCAGCAATCCATGCCCTGCTGTCATCCCAGAACCCATTCTGCTAAGACAAACTGACCAAGTCTACGGGTAAAAAAGTAGGAGAAAGTTCTTGTTCTTTCTGATTAGTGCAGGTAAAGCTGAGGTCACGCTGAGGATGGTCTGAAGTTGGCTCTCCATCCCCCTGCGCTAGTGGAAAAATAAATTATTGAAAGAAACCGCTTTAGGAATGCCCGAGAAGAACTCTCGGGATGTAGGAAACCGCAGAACACCAGACGCCAGCGAGTTTCTTTTTTCTTTGAAACTTCATGTCGCTCTCAGAAAATGCAGCAGGTCCCCAAATGGTACAAGCAGAAAAAAACAAGCCACGTCCCTACCTTCCCGTGAACAAACCCCAACCCCGAGTGGGAATTTTTTCCTCAAGTTCCGCTGAAATTAAGTGGCCTGGGGCCTGCCTGGCAGCGCCGAGCCCCAGCCGGGGCCGGGGGCCGGGGGCCGCGGGGCCTGGCCGGCCGTTCCCGAAACGGCGGGGAACTTTCCTCCGCCGCGCCCGAGACAATGCCACGGCCGGCGCCCGCGCCTCCGGCCGGGAGGGCGCCGCAACGGCGGGGCCCCGGCCCCTCTCAGGGAGGGCGCGCGAAACCCCCGGGGCGGCGCCACCCGTCCCACCCCGCGCCTCGGGGGCGCAGACCCCCCTGGACGTCTGAGCCCGGCGCTGCGGAGCCCGCGGCCAGCGCCTCCCCGCGCACCGGGCACCCGGCCGCGAACGGAGCCGGGACCCTCCCGGCGCCCCGTGCCGGCGCCTCTTCGCGCGGGGGCCGGGCAGGGGGCGCCGACGACCCGGGGCGACCCCGCGCGGCCCCGCCGAGCCCGTCCAGACGCCCCGCAACTCACCGGGACCGGGCGGGCCGCTGGGCATTATTCCATCGCGGGCTCGGCGCCGGCTCCTCGGCGGTGGCGGCAGCGCAGACGCCCGCGCCCCGGCTCCCCTCAGCCGGCCGATCGCGGCTCTCGGAACGGAAAGCGGGCGGCGGCCGGAGCAGCCGGCGAGGCGGGAAGCGCGGGCCGGGGGCTGCCCGAACGCAGAGTACCCGCCGGCGGCGGTGGTGGCGGCGGCGGCGGCGGCGGCGAGGCGCGGGAGCCGAGCGCGGCGCAGGAAGGGGCGGGCGACCATGTGCCGAGGGGAGGAGGCCGCAGCGAGGCGCGCGGCTCGGACGATCCCGCTCGGCGGCGGAGGGCGCGGGCTTCAGGAAATCCAAACACTTCGACAGGAAATCGGAATCCTGACTAAGCATTCCCGGCCCGGGGGCCGCCCCACGCCGGGGGCTCCCGCCTCGCTTAACCCTTGGCCCGCCGGCACTTAGGAGGGGCGTTGGGCTGGCTCTCCGACGCCGCGCGCGGGGCAGGCGGGGTCTCGGACACCCGACAACGGCGTGCGAGCTGGGCCGGGGTCGGGCATCCTACCCCTTCGGCCCCTCACCCCCGCTGGCCTGCTTTCTCCTCGCTCAGAGGTAGAAGGGGTGGGATTTGTCCCGACAAAACCTTGGCCTGGGGAGGTGCCTTTGTAAGTCCCCGGACACCAGGAAAGGACCTTGGCCTCTCTCCCATCCTGCAGAGAATGAACTTGCAATCTCCTGGCCGTTTCCCCTATTTTTTCATAAAATAAATGACTTTACCTGGCTGCCCCCTTTCACGGCTCCGCTTTGCTAATTTCCTCATTATTTGCCCAGTGCCAGGGGCTAGGACCTTTCCGGGTCAGGATAGTATAGAAATAGTATGCACAGTAACAGTATGGACTTTGGACCCTGATCCGGGTTGGAATCTGGACTTTGCCTTTTTTCTAACTGTGTTACCTTGGGTAAGTCACTTCACTTCTCCAAGCCTCCGTTTACTCAAATATGAAATGAGGTGGTCATACCGCCTTCCTAGGTTGGATTTGGAAACCAAATGTTTAGACAGGGACTGACACACTGTAAATGCTCAGATAAATGATAGCCATGATTGTCTTTATTACCACAAGAGATATCAGAGAAAGAAGGGTTTTAGTGGTGGAGGGTGTGCTGTGCATCTATACCTACTTCACAAAGCCTCGGAACTTCATTAACCTCCTTATCACCCAGAGATTATTTTTCTTTGCAGCATTTCAGAAACTGCTCTCTGCAGAGGAAAAGGTTAGTGGCTATGGCAGACCCCCTTCTGGTGAAATCTGAAACTCAGCAAACCTCACAGAATTTGCTATTTTACTCTTAACCTGAGAGTCAGGACACTGGGGGGGGGGGGGTTGTTAAAAAAGCCTGGAGAGGCTTTACAAAGTTTGAGAAAACCAGAGTAAATCTCCGTCCATTCAGGCCTGGACTAGGTGGCCAGCGGGAGTGATTCGTTGTGGCTTCCCACGGAAATGCCACATTAGGGGGTTTTCTACCTGGAGGATGCACTTGGTGGTTTTGCTGTGTCTCAAATTCCTTTGAAACCCAATCTGACTTGAAGAGGGAACAACATACCCATGAATGAAAACCAAACTTGAAATGAGCCTGCCAGGCACTGAAAGTTGGGTACCAGCTGCTCAACTCTAAGGACCGGACGTCAGTTTTAGACCCAGTTTGTCTCTTTTCTGCAACTCTTTTTCAGTGGCCAGAAGCAGTGGGACAAGCTCCTGGTTCGACCCCGGGAGTCCAGGGTCCTGCCCAAGGCCCTTTTTGCAGCTGCTAGTTCCTCTGCCTGGAAGAATCTCTGTTTGGCTGTTCGTTGAACTCAGCTCACAGCTCAGAAGTCGAGACCTCAAAAGGGGCTTTCCCCAACCATTGGATCTACTTGTCTTTAGAGCTCTTGTCATGGCTTAATTTGTCCTGTTTATTTGGTTGCTTATTTATCATCTGTCTCCCCCTGCATGGGTAAGCTGCCTTAGGGCAGGACTGCTGCTTGTCTGCATCACTTCTGTATCCCGGTGCCAAGAACAGTGCTGACCCCTAGGAGACCTTCAATAAAGATAAGTCCAATGAATGAGAGAGGTAAACCAGGTTAGACTAGCAGGTTCAATCTGCCCCTGCTCCCTGTATCTTCCGCTTTGGGGGAGAGGCTTTCAAATGGGAAAGCCCAGTGTAATGGAAGAAGCACCAGAGGCTCTATTAATGGCTCTGGAAAGTTAAAACTGTAAGTAATTAAGACTGTCAGAAGACATAACTGCAGTCTCATTGGTACAGTCCCAGTTAATTGTGCCCTCCTTTATGCTCCCCCAGCACTTCTGTTCATTTAAAGAAGAATCAGGGACTTCCTTAGTGGTCCGGTGGTAAAGAATCTGCCTTACAATGCAGGGGACACAGGTTCAACCCCTGGTCAGGGAACTAAGATCCCACATGCCTCAGGGCAACTAAGCCTGTGCGCCACAACTACTGAGCTCGCGCGCCTCAACTAGAGAGCCTGCGTGCCGCAGACTACAGAGCCCACGCGCCCTGGAACCCATGCACCACAACTAGAGAGAAGCCCGCGCACCACAACTAAGACCTGACGCAGCCAAAAATAAATAAATAATAAAATAAATGTTAAAAAAAAAAAAAATAAAGAACGAATCAGTCACATTCTATGCTTGCTCGGTACGTGCCCTCCTCAGTCAGATGGCAAACTCTCTGAGTTGGAGAGAAAGCAAAGGAGCCTGCATTTATTGACCACTTACTCTGATTGGGACCCTGAGCAAGGTGAATTAGAATTCATTAAGTCATTGGTTAAGTGCTCAAAAATCTTCTGGGCAATAGATCTGCAAAGATGAACTGTTCTTGCTTTCTGAGAAAGACAAGAAAGTTCTATTTAGAAAGCAGAGACGTGATCACTCTTATAGAGGTATGTCCAGGGTGTCACAGAAAATTTAGAAATTTTCCTAAATCAGAAGGGAGTGGGTATCTTAGTCAGTTCAGGCTGCTATAACAGAATGCCATAGACTCGGTGACTTATTTTTTTTAATACATTTATTTATTTTTTATTTATTTATTTATTATTTATTTATTTATTTATTTTGGCTGCGTTGGGTCTTTTGTTGCTGTGCACGGGCTTTCTCTAGTTTCTGTGAGCAGGGCTACTCTTCATTGCAGTGCGTGGGCTTCTCATTGCGATGGCTTCTCTTGTTGTAGAGCACGCGCTCTAGGCACGCAGGCTTCAGTAGTTGTGGCACGTGAGCTCAGTAGTTGTGGTGCACGGGCTTAGTTGCTCCGCGGCATGTGGGATCTTCCCAGACCAGGGCCAGGGAAGCCCAACTTGGTGACATAAACAACACACATTTATTTCTCACAGTTCTGGAGGCTGGAAACTCTGAGACAGGTGCTGACAGATTCGATGTCTGGTGAGAGCCCTCTTCCTGGTTCATAGACAACCGTCTTCTTGCTGTATCCTCACATGGTGGAGGGGGCAAGGGAGATCTCTGAGGTCTCTTTTATATGGGCACTAATACCATTCATGAGGGCTCCACCCTCATGACCTAATCACCTCCCAAAGACCCCAACTCTAATATCCATGACATTGCGGGTTATAAAATTCAACATATGAATTTTGGGGGTATACAAACATTCAACCTATAGCAGGGAGTTAGAAACCACTTCTAAGAAGTGGGGGCTCTTAAACTAAGCTTCAAGGAAGAGGTGGGACTTATCTAGGTAGATGAGGGGGCACAGGCCTGTCAGCCAGAGCAAAAAGCACAGTGCTGATGATGCTCAGCAATCTGTCCACTGGACCCACCTCTGAGCTCACCTGCAGCTGCAGTTTGATTCCATCTGTCCAGAGGAACTGTCCACCTGAAGCACGTGTCCCTCTCTTCCTCTCTGCCTGGGGCCTTTCCCCAAGGCTTCGGGATCTTGCCCAGATGGGAAATGCCTAACAGCCTCAGGGCAGCCTCCAACCAGTCAGTGGATAAATGTCACAGCCTCCCATCCCTAAAGGGGAACAGTCCTAAAGTGCTTTCAACACAGTTCCTCAGAGGATCCCCAGTGGAACTGAGTCCCGTTGCCCCCAGTTATAACTCTCTCATTAACTCCCTATGCCTCTTCTCTCTTCCCTGCCTCACTCTCTCACTCCCTCATTTGCTCTGCCTGGAATCAATCACCTCCCAAATAAACTAACTGCACCCAATTCCTTGTCTCAAGGTTTGTTTCTGGGGAGACACAAAGCAGGTCAGCATTCATTCATTTATTCACAGATATTGACCAGGCACCCCCTCTGTGCCTGAGCAAAGACTGAGCCTGAGTAGGAGCGTGTAATATATTTGGGTAACTCTACAAGGTTCAGCATGGTCTGAGGAAATGGTACAAGTTCGGTCATGGAAAGCAATGAGTCTAAAAAGCTTTGCACCATTTTACAGTTCAGGAAACTGAGGCACAGGAACGTTGAGTAATTGGCCCAAGGTCAAACACTTAGTTCACAGAGGAGTTTTGGAGCCCAGGCTCTTAACCATCACCCTATACCCCCCTCCTGGTGGTTAGAGCTCTGGGTGCAGGCTGCAGATGAATTCACCCGCGGGGAATGTGTAGAGTGAGAAGATACTGGGATCAAGATTGAACGCTGAGGGACACCGTAGGCAACAGAGGAAGGCGTGCCCACAAAGCAGACTGGGGAGGGGGCAGGTGGTCCAGGAAGGGAAGTGGAAGGAAAACCAGGGGTCAAGGGAAGAAATTACTCCTAGAAGAAAGGAATGGCCCACACTTTCAAATGCCACTGAAAGTCCAATCAAAGAAGGATTGGAGAGCAAGTGCCCATTTTATTTGACAACTGGAAGGCTGATAACCTTTGCCAGAACAGCCTCAATGGAGTGGAGGGACTGGGAGCCAGATTGCAGTGGGTTGAAGAGTGAGTAGGAGACAGCAAGTGTAGACAATCCTTTTCAGAAACATGGCAGTCTAGCTCGTGGGAGGTAAGGGTGGAGGATCCTTCAAAGAGGGTGGGCGAGCGAGCATCTGTGCCTGATGGGAAAGTCCCAGTAGGGTGGGAGAGGTTGAAGAGGAAGGGCAGGGTCCCTAATGGAACAGGTCCTGAGGTTGAGAGGGGACGGGATCTAAAGTGAGGTGGGCCGGGACGAGCCCTGGACCTGGAGGACCACCTTGTCCACTGCAGGAGAGGGCCAGAGGGAAAGGAGCAGAACACTCAG